GACCAATGGAATACTCTATATATGTTTGTTAAATCTAGATCATGGATTGTATTATTAAATTCTATCGTTTATTTGTTTAGATTTCGTTTGGAGTCTATCCAGTGGTGATGAGAGAGGTGTGTTAATGTCACCCAGTATTATCGTGTTGTGGTCTGACTGCTTCTTGAAATTGAGAAGGGTTTGTTTGATATCCGTAGAAGCTCCATTGTTTGGGGCACAGATATTTATGATTGTTATGTCTTGTTGATGTATAGTTCCCTTAAGCAGTATATGATGTCCCTCTTTATCTCTTCTGACTAACTTTGGCTTGAAATCCACTTACCTGATATGAGGATGGAAACTCCTACTTGTTTACGTGACCCAGGTGAGTGATATGTTTTTCCCATCCTTCCACCTTCTTTTCCTATGAGATGAATCTCTTGAAGGCAGCATATGGTTGGATCTTTTTTAAAAATCCAATCTGCCAGTCTGTGTCTTTTAATTGATGAGTTTAGGCCATTAACATTCAGGGTTATTATTGCGACATGGTTTGTATTCCTGGTCATTTTGGTTTATTTTTGGTTTGTAACTTGAGTTGGTTTCTCCTTTGATTGGATTTCCCTTTAGTATAGCCCGCCCCGCCCCCCTTTACTGATTTTCATTGTTGTTTTTCATTTCTTCCTCGTGGAACATTTTGCCGAGACTATTCTACAGTGCAGGCGTTTGCATTGTAAATTCTTTTAATTTTTGTTTATCATTTATTTTGTCTTCGATTCTAAAGCTTAACTCTGCTGCATATAAGATTCTTGGTTGGCACCCATTTTCTTTCAGAGCTTGGTATTCGTTGTTCCAGGATCTCCTGACTTTGTCTGGGTTGAGAAATCTGCTGAGATCCGAATGGTTTCCCCCTATATGTAATCTGAAGTTTTTTTCGGGCGGCTTTTAAAATTCTACCCTTATTCTGTACTCTAGGCAGTTTTATTATAATGTGCCTTGGTGTGGATCTGTTGTAATTTTGTACATTTGGTGTCCTGTAAGCCCCTTGTATTTAATTTTTCAATTCATTCGCTTTTTTATTAGTATTTATTTTTTTTAGTTATATTTGGACATAATATCTTTATTTTTTTATTTTTATGTGGTGCTCAGGATCAAACCCAGCGCCTCACACGTACTAGGTGAGTGCTCTACTGCTGAGCCACAATGCCAGCCCCTCCAATTCATTCTTCATGTTGGAACATTTTCTGATATTATTTCATTGAAGAGATTGTGCATTCCTTTGGTTTGTATCTCTGTGCCTTTCTCTATCCCGATAATTGTTAGATTTGGTCTTTTCATATTGTCCCATGATTCTTTGGAGGTTCTGTTCATGGTTTCTGACCATCTTCACTGTGTGGCCAACTTTATTTTCAAGATACATATTTTGTCTTCATTGTCTGAGGTTCTGTCTTCCAAGTGATCTAGTCTGTTCTTTTTTTTTTTTAATTTTTTATTTTTTTTATTGGTATCTAGTCTGTTCTTGATGCTTTCTATTGAACTTTTTATTTGGTTTATTGTTTCCTTCATTCAGGGATTTCTGTTTTTTTTTTCCAGCGTCTCTCTCTTTCTTGCAGTAATCCTTTGCTACCTGTATGTCCTCTCTCATCTCATTGCTGCCTGTACTTGCTCTCTCAATTCATTCCTTGCTTCGCACATCATTTTAATCCTGTACCTTCTGCTCTCCTTCCCTGATATTCCAGCTCTGTGCTGTCAGTGGATCTACCGTTGTATCAGCGTGGCTTGTTTCGAGCACTTTCTCCCCGCTTCTTCATGTTGTCCATGTGTCTTCCTGTCTCTCAGTGTGGATTCGAGGTATTACAGTTTCTACCGTATAATCTTGTAGTGTCCCTGCAGGTCACCGATACCTTGCCTGCAGGCACCTGGAAGTAGGTCTTGTAGGTCCTGGCTGCAGTCACTCGATGGAAGGTGGTGGGGAAAGCCACCCCACGGGTTGGTAGATGGGGTGCAACGTGGTGGGCCCAGGTTGCTCTGCCCCAACTGGGCCGTGCGCTGGGGTTGCTCTAGTCCTCCTCCTACCGTGGAGTGGGTCTTCAAAAATTCTTTTTCTTTTTTTAAGTCCTGGATGGACATAATAGCTTTAAATGGATGAGGTGCTGAGAATGGAACCCAATGCCTCACATTTGCTAGGCAAGCACACTGCCACTGAGCCACCTCCAGTTTAAGTGCTCGAAATCCTATCCAATGTCCCCAGCAGTTTGGGGGCACCCCCTCCACCCCATGAGGTTGTTTTTATCCCCTTGCTCCCGGACCTGACTGCAGCCTGGTTGGGGAGATTCTGCAACCCACCTTTCTACTCACCCCGAGAGAGGGGGAGCCCCAGGAGAAGCCCGAGTCTCCCTAGAAGTTGTCTTCTGAGTTACACCCTCTGGTCTCCTTGGGACTTGTTTCCTGATAAAGAGGTTCAGAAGGCCACGTGCCTGCGGTTGGAGGTGGCCATCTGAGGGGCGAAAGAGGAGTCTGACTTGCACGTCTTTCCTCAGTTCAGGTTCTTTTTTGAAACAATCACGCGTTACTTTGGTAAAATGAAAATCAGTTTGAAAAAAAAAAAAAAAAGACCCAGAGAGAGGAAGTGTGAGTGGGGGTCTGTCATGCTGGGAGGACTCCAGGCCCTGCCCTGGGGTCTCACCCAGCTCTGGTGGGCTTTGTGTTCCACTTGAGAGCCTGGTCCTGGTGGAGGGGACAATGGATACTGCCCAGGCCACCCCAGCCCCAGTGCTGTTGGCTGCCAAGCCCTGAAAAAGCTCTCCCTGTTCTGGGCTGGCACAGTGAGCAGAGATGTGCACTGAACCAGGTGACCTGCATTTGGCCTAGGCAGGGTCTGGAGGAAGGACAAGACACCTGCTTTCTGTCTCCATCAGGGACTGCCTGGATGACCCCAGACCCTGGGCCAGCTCTTTGGGCCTCAGTTTCCTCCGGGTCTGTGGAGTAACCTGGGGTGATAAGTCACTGGGCATCTATGTGTGGAAGCTTGTCACCTGTATTCAGAGAGATGCAGCAATTTCTCAGCCACGTGCACGAGACTGTGATGTGAGAGCACAGCTGGACGGTATGCACACACATGCCTCCGTATCCACAGACCCTCCCAGGCCAGTGCCACACTATGGGGTGTCTGCTGTGTCTGGACACACAGGGCCGAGAGCCGCGCCTTAGACATGGAAACGGCACAGACTCCGCGGCACTGGGACAGAGGCACCAGGTGAAGGGTTATTACGTGGTTTTTTGAATGTTCACAGAGAAATTGACTCTCTTTGGAGGGTGCTGGCTGCTCTCGAGGGTATGCACAGTGACAGCTTTAGGGCGACTTCCTTGTTTCACAACCTCTACCAGGTGGGGCCCTTTATATAAGGCAACACCAAATATTGTCCCTGGGGAAACCTGCAGTGACCTTCATGTGCTTCCGATACTGAAGTCAGGCTGGAGAGTGCTGTGTTTAGGGGTGAACTGTGCCCACACAGGAAGGGAAACCCAGCACCCTCACTTCCTGGCTGTGTGACCTTGTGCCTGTGACTTAACCTCTCTGTGCTTTCACACCTTCATCTATACCATGGAGATAGAGTGGTATCTGCCTCCTAGGGTTGTTTCTAGGGGTGGCAGAGGGTAGGGACTATCCGAGTGTGTGCTGTTATTGTGATACTTGTCATCTGGTCCTTATCTGATCATCTGGTGTGCCCCATCTCAGAAAGCTAAGCCTGGCCTGTCAGCGAGCCCCTTTTTCCATCCATTACACTGCAAATTGCTTTATGAGCCGTGAGTATAAAAGTGAGTGAAATTCAACTTGGACTACACTCATTTTTTTTCCTAGTGATTTTAAAGAAATGGGAACACATTTGTGACCCCTAAAGGTGGAGAAGCAGCAGGCAGCGCTCAGAGAGGAGAACTCCATATTTTATTTTACACCAGTGGGCCCAGAGGAAAACAAACTCCAAATTCTGAGCCCGGATCCACAATTTCTCACAATAATACGAGGCTATTTGATGTCTGGTTTTGCCATCACAAAGGTACCAGGGCTCCAGGCCCCGTGCTCCCCGTACTTGCGGGGTACACACCTGCTCATGGAGGGTGTCTGTGTCTGAGCAGCTGAGATTTGGGGACTTGATCTGTGGAAACTTCTGCCACCTGCTCAGCGTGGCCTGAGGCACCCTGGAGAAAGCCATTCTTGCCTGGAGCAAATGGGTCCAGGTGGGAGCTCTCTCTGGGCAGGTGCCTGGCTGGTGCTAGTCCTGCCTGCAGGAATTGATTATCTCAGTAACTCTCATGTGACACCAGGTTGGCTGAGCTGCTTTTTCCGGTCATGATAAGAAAAACTGAACAAGCAGTTCTAGGGGGCTGGAGGCACCTTCAGAGGGAGCCCTGTGGGTGGGTGTCCTGGGATTGGAGGGTGGGGCTTGGAGGGGATCAGCTGGCATATGTTAAGAGGTGACTATTTTCTTTGCCCAGCTGTGAGGGGCTGACATGCTATACATGCAGAAACCATTAATTAATCCACCCATTCTTCCCATATTTCCTAAGTGCAGACCCTGGGCTGGGACAGAGAAGACCCTGCATAGCTGGGGGAGCTCCCTGGCAGCCAGGGTGAAGTGTTCCTTGGAGAGATGGGCCATGGCGGGAGGGTCATATGGGAAGAGACTGGTTCTGGGTGGGAGCTGAGTGGGGTACAGGTTAGGAGAAGGCTCCTCCTCTAGAGATTCCAAGTCCAAAAGGAATTTGAGGACTGGAGGGAGTGAGGATGCTGGGATCCCTCCCCCACCCTGTTGGACCCTGGATTTCTAGGGCCTGGCGTGCCCAGCTGCCAGAGTCAGTCTGTGCTGGAAAAATAACCATGGGTGACGTGGAGGGGACAGGCTGAGGGGGTGGTGGACAGGCCCAGATGATGTCCTGGAACCTCAGGGAAGCAGTGCCAGGTTGGGGGAGGGTGGGGGGAGGGTGGGGGGAGAGAGCCTGAGAGATGGGCAGGTGCCACTGACAGGTCCTGGGACAGGAGTCTTGGGCACAGGTGTTGCCTCTCATGAGGCCCCTGAAGGCAGAAGGCCGCGGGGCTGGCAGGGCTCCCCCACAGCCAGGTGAAATCTGGGGGTTCAGAGAAGGTCTGGGGCTCATAGAGGACTGAGTTCAGTGTGGGAGTTACAGTTTCAGTGAGTCTGAGGTCCATGGGCGTTCTCTCTGGGGACGGGGCTGGGACTCAGTGGCAGAGGGCTTCATGATAGTTCACAGCTGGCCCCTCGGCCAGGGCTGTGAGTGGGACTAGCGCAGGCTGAGCCCAGGCCTCCATGGCCTCCATATAGAAGCCCCTATGTCCAGAGGAGGCTGCCCACCTCGGCCGTCCCTCACTGGACACTGCATTGCTTGCGTTTGTGGCCCTCCATCGGCCACAGGAGAGCTCCTTTCCCGAGCTCCTCAGGCTGTGTGTTCGGGGCCCTGGCCCCTCTTCCTCTGGGGGCCTCAGTTTCCCTCCCTGTGCCCCCGTAGTGAGAGCTCCCCCTGGAGTCCCTGCAGATCTCGCCCTGTCAGGGCTCTCCACAGGCTGCTCCAAGCACAGAGCCCAGGCCAACATCGCCTGGGGCTGGGCTGGGGGGCCTGATGGGAGCTCCTTCCCCAAGGGCCCAGTGGGGCCTGAGCTTGTGCATCCTCCTGGGGCCTGGCTGCTCTGGGCTGGGGAGCTGCTCTTGGGGAGAGCCCATGCTCCACCTGCACTGGGGCCCTTGAGGCCCCTCCAGACTCACTATGGCGGCAGGACCAGAGGAGCCATTAGCTGATCAGAGCCATCTTAAGTCGCAGGGAGGAGAGTTTGAAGTGTCCTCATCCTGGCCCCTCAGGTACCCACGTGGGCCCAGGACTCCCTTGACCCATGAACACCCCCAGGGGCTCCCTCCTAGGCCTTGGCAGCCTGGCTGAGGGTGTCTCTCAGTGGACCCCTGGTGTAGAGGGGAAGTCCCTGGAGCTGGCCAATCAGCAGTGGGGGACAGAGAGGAGCAGGAGGCACAAATCAAGGTCCGGGCCACTTTGAGGGAAGGAAGTTTATTATTGCTCTTGTGGGATTGGCTGGCTGCCGCGGTTCCCAGGGACGAATCACAGCTGCATTTTCTGGAGGAGCAGGGGACAGTGTTAGGCCTCTGGGACCTGCCACCTTCTGGGGCAGCACGAGGCTCTGCGGGTTCCGTGGCCTGGGGAGGGGGCGTGCATGGCACAGCAGGCAGCCCCTGGCCCAGACAAGCCACCCTGGTCTCTGCCCCAGGACCCAGCCCCACTTGGCACTTCACCCCCGCTCCCCACGGTGAATGGCCGCTGTGGTGACACCCGCTCTCTGCTGGGGACCCTGCACTCTAGGTGCACAGCTCCCTCTTGGGGGAAGGTGTGTCCTGGGCGGGGACCTAGGTGTGTGCTGAAGCCCCGGGAGGGCTGGATGGAGCTCCTGACTGTGACCTTCACCGCGCCCAACTCAGGTCAGCAGCAGTGAGCACTCAGCCAGCGCTTCTCCAAAGAGAGGGAGGGGCGCGGGAGTGGGCGTGGCCAAGCCCGGGGCCAATGAGCGAGGGCGTGGGCGGGACTTGGAGGGGCGGGGCCCACCTGGTTGATCCAGTCGATGTAGGCAGACACGCGGGTGTAGACTCCGGGCTTCTTACGGACGTTGCAGCCCTTACTGGAGCCGAAGCTGACGATGCCATGCACCTCCCAGGCACCGTCCTCCGCCTGGCAGTTCAGCGGGCCGCCCGAGTCCCCCTGCAGGTGACCCCAGCAGGCATCAGTCCCCAGGCCTCCCCCAGGGACAGGCTGGGGACTGAGCAGTGGGCTGGGGCGGGCATGTGCTGAGCTGTCAGCTTCAGTACCCACTGTTGGCCTCAGCCTGCTTCTGGTGAGGGAGGCACAGAAGTGTGGCGTGGGGCTGCCTTGGCCTGGTTCTGGGAGTCCTGGGGCATCAGGATAGCTCTGGGTTGGCTGTGTGATCTTGGGATGATGTCAGCCCTCTCTGTGCCCTGGTTTCCTGGGTGTTCAGGTCTGCATGGCTAAGCCTCTGTGAGCTGCCCAGAGAAC